TTCGCAATGAAGCTGCTGAAGGAGAAGCATCGTGTCTGAGCGTCATCATTGACTTATCCCCTTTTCAGCCCCTTTTCAGGGTGTAACATATAAACCAACACTGAGAAATCTTTAAGGTCTTTGTATACGTATTTATAGATACCTCAAAACAACTGATGGAGAGATGATAAAGAGGACTTGGTCAGAAAAGAAACTGTAAACAGCATTAAGTTAAGGTAACTGAAGCTCTTATCATATGTTAGCCTGTGATTGGTTGGGAATGGTTAATGGAGGATGCTGACAGTCACTATTTCTGGGCGATCATGGCTCAAGTGTTGGCAGTTCGTCTTGCCAATCGGAAGGTTGCCGGTTCGAGCCCCGGCTGGAAAAGTGTCGGTGTTGTGTCCTTGGGCAAGACACTTCACCCGTTACCTACTGGTGTCAGTGTGCCCCAGTGTGGCTGTGGCTACAATGTAGCTTGCCGTCACCAGTGTGTGACTGGGTGGATGACTGAACGTGTAAAGCGCTTTGGGGGTCCTTAGGGACTAAATAAAGCGCTATACAATACAGCCATTTACCTTGCTGCATTGTAACTCTCCTTACCATTGCTTTCTCGCCTCTGTCAGGGATACGTGGAAAAGTGTCGGTTGTTTGTGTCCTTGGGCAAGACACTTCACCCGTTACCTACTGGTGGTCAGTGTGCCCCAGGGCAGCTGTGGCTACAATGTAGCTAGCCATCATCTGTGTGTGAATGACTGAATCAAGGACGTAGATTTGGTTTTGGCATTGGTGGGGACGGATGATTCAACCACCGAACTTGCCCTGTTCTTTTTTTTTTTCCTTTTTGATTTTGCTTCTTAATAAAAAGAGGAGAAATATACATGCTATTCTACGTGCTTTAAACCATTTAAAATCACAATTCATAGTTTTATATGTGAATTATATAATGTTAATTTACTATTAAATAAATGACTAAGTATTTTAGGCTTTAGTTTACTTCAGCCATAATCCATATCAGGTATCATACAAAAATAAAAATAGCTTCAATACAGTCATGACAATAAAAGAATATGACTTTAAGGATTCACAACATTACTTCAGTTACACAACATGTGTTATATTTTGGCACTAAGGGAACATTGAATGACTGCTGGTTTTTGTCCATAAAACTACTCATCTAAGATGACCACAAAGTAAAAGATCTCTCAGCAAAATGATGCAACATTTTAGGCACTATTGCCCGATCAAATCAATGAGCTGAGATTTTCTATTCTAAACATGAACTACTGTTACAGCAACAGACATGGACTACTGGTGTCCCACACAACAACTCAATGTCCACTGTGTGAAGGAGCCAAACACATACCTGCCCCTCTCATTAACTGAGATAAACTGCTGACACATATATTTTACATCTATACTGTCCAGTCTCTCCTGGTGGACATACAGCAGCATTGTTTAATCTCATTTGAGTCATTGTTAACCTTAGCCATCTTTTAGTCTTCTGAGAGCACTGAAGCTTCTTTCAGCCTCAGTACATGCGTTTTATCCTCAGATTACAATTATTATTCTGTGCTTGATGTGCCTCACCTTTGGCCCTGGCTCTTCCCCTCTGACTGCACTAGGACATATTGTAAATGGTAAAATGTCAAATGGCCTGTATTTGTATAGCGCTTTTCTAGTCCCTAAGGACCCCAAAGCGCTTTACACAACCTGTCATCCACCCATTCACACACACATTCACACACTGGTGATGGCAAGCTACAATGTAGCCACAGCCACCCTGGGGCGCACTGACAGAGGCGAGGCTGCCGGACACTGGCGCCACCGGGCCTCTGACCACCACCAGTAGGCAACGGGTGAAGTGTCTTGCCCAAGGACACAATGACTGAGACTGTCCAAGCGGGGCTCGAACCGGCAACCTTCCGATTACAAGGCGAACTCCCAACTCTTGAGCCACGATCGCCCGTATTGTCACCTGATAAAATAACAAATTGATTTGTGCCATATAAAAAGTGAGACGTGTCAATTCAGATTCATTGTCAAATATGCACTAATGAAACAATTTACATCAGCTGATGTAAATTTACTGATTGGCTTTTCTCTCTCATTTATTTATCGCCCACTTTGCGCCAGTAAGAGGAAACCAGCAGATGTCGCGCTAAACAACAGCAGCACGTTTAAGCTGATCAGCTGTTGTTAGAATGTATTTAATATTAATTTCTAGTATCAGCTGATGTTTGCTGGAGCCACAGCTGTAAACCTGCTGGTCATGAAATCGGTTTGGATATGTGGTGAGAGGGAAACATGAAGATGAAACCAGGAGATGTCCTTACTGAATCATCAGAGCAGAACAGGTGATGGAGAAACAGGTTTACCTTTTAGGTGACATGAATGAGTTGAAGTTATGAACTGTTTCTGAGAGACAAATAACACCAGGATCCTTTTTTATGTAGCTGACAGCTGGTAACTGTGCAGGGCGGATCTAGCAAGTTTTGCCAGGGGGCAGGTAGGGCATTAACAGGAGAGGTGGGCACAAAGAAATACTTTTCTTTCTTATTCTCATTTAAAATATCTAGCTTTTATTAAATAATTATCTAAATCTTACAACCAAAGTTTTTATCTGATGTAAAATGAATAGAAATCATACATATACCAACAAGACAGTGTACATCACTGTCACAACAGGGTTTGTTTTCAATCAAAGTCTTTATGGCTTTAATACCTGGTGGGTCGGTCTGTAGTGAAAATGCCCAATTTTTGTCCCAGTCCAGCCCTGCAGGTTAATACTGGCAGTGTCACCATGCCAGCTGACTGTATTTCATCATCAGCCAGTGTTGTTCTTGATCTGCTCTGAGACTGAGAGAACTAACAGTGCTGCATGTTGTGCAGTTAGTTTACAAAACACGTTATTCATGGTTACATACAATTTGAGACTGATGTGAGCCAAAGCCTAGCATAGTCTGTAACGTTATTATGACGGACACATTTTATGAGTTAATTTGGCTTTAAGTGACTTACAGGTTTCTTGAAAAATACTTATATATCCAAGTTCTTCCTTTGCACTGCCATCCTCCTCTCCTCCTCGCAGCGCAGGCTTGCCGCTGCTAAAACTAAACAGAACTCCCTGAAAGGCATAGCCAATCACATTGGCCATATTTGTCACATGAGGTAGGACTCCAGTAGAGGACGTAATTTAACTCTTTCTGCACCGCTGGGTGAATGAGACGTTGACAGATCGTTTCTTCTTCTCTTTCTTGATTTTCTTTACTCGAATAGATCAAATGATTGGTGGGGACATGTCCCTTCCGTCCATCCCAAATCTACGCCCTTGGACTGAATGTCGTGTAAAGCAGTCTAAAGGTCCTTAGGGACTAAGTAAAGCGCTATACAAATCCAGGCCATTTACCATTTACTATTGCTTTCGTCCCTAGCAGGATTCCGAATTCCACATATTTTGTATGCATTTTTTGTATGACAGTGACCAGAAGCACTTGCCATTTACTATTTAAACAGTACTGAAATTATGAAGAGTTCTTTAAAAGTGAGCTTTATTCATTTCTGATTTGTGTCACATATTTTTGGTTTTCATTTTTTATGTCCAGAGAGTAAATAGTAAGTGTTTGTGTGATCCATGCAAACTATGGGTGATTATGACTATCTGCTAGCAACAAAAGCATTGATATATTGAAGAAAAAGAAATAGTGCAGAAAACAGAACAATAAAAGTTCAATATACTAGATTAAATAACCCTAACCTTATTAACAATAGCATAAGACATCAAACTTTCTATAGAATAAATAAAAAATCTAATCAGGAACAATAAAACCCAACAGAAAGCCACAAAATAGCTATTTTCACTTATAATCCCAAGCTCTGTCAATTCTGGAACAATGACAAAACAATAAAATGAAAGATAAGAAAATGTTCAGATGAAGTGCAACATGTATGACAACAACTGACCCTTATGCTCGTTTATAGTCTTCTATCCATATCTAATGCACTTAAGGTAGTTTTTGAAAAAGTGAAGCTGCAGTTTGAATTCTGCATCATTTCTTCCAGGGCTTCTGAATTTGTTGTAGGTAGGATTACGGTTTTCTTCTGTTTTAGGTTGATGGTCAATTGTCACATCACCACATGAGGCAACCATCAAAGAGCCCAGGCCATCCATGAAGAACTCTAAAGTCAGAAAGAGAGATTTGCCATTTGACAAAAAATTATACTGCAATTTTCAATGTAAACTGTTTTGAGATCTGGACTTACCTGAATGTGCTACTCGCTGGAGCTTCGGGTCAAATCTCACCCTCTGCATGGCATCTGTACGAGCCAGGAAGAAGTTGACCACTCCACTGGCCAAATGGCATTGTGGGTAACTAGGAAGGGAATGGAATTTACCACCAGACTTCCTGTAGAGGCAGCCACCTTCGTTTTCATCTCCTTCCTCATACAGAATAGAAAAGTGAAACTTGTTCCCTTGCACTGACCCACCAACCTAATTAGAGAAAAACCAAACAACTCATTATAAAGTCAACCCTAAACAGATGTAACAGATGTTCAAACCTGGTGATTGAGAAGAATAATCTTAAATTACTTTTGAAAACAAAAGACCATCTCAGTTTGTTACATACTCAGCTCTCTTCCTCTTTTCCCCTTCTTTTTTAACTCATTAAGTGTACAGTATCACCTGTAAAAATACCATCCCAACCCTTCACCCTAATTCTTGAATCTTGAAAATAATTTTTCTCTGTGTCAGTTAGAATTGTTAGTTTTTGCCACCTGAATACAAAAACCTAGGTGAACAACAAAGGCTGCATATTCTAAAAGTACAACGTTAGGGTCATCAGCATACTACTGTAGCTGTTACAGTTCTACTTAAACCAGTTAAAACAAACTGAACGATCCAACACAAGCTATTTTATCCTTACCATATCTAGTTCTGGGACTGCCTCCATCACCTCCACAAGTTTCTCTATCTTTGTCTTCTCAGAAAACAAAAAGTCATCATCCACCCACAAGAAGTACTTGGTGGTAACCTGTGACACAGCCAGATTTCTGCCTGCAAACCAGCCCTGAGGAAAAAAAAAACATTCCAAATTCATATATTGGAATGGTACCTGGTTTGATGGTTTAACTGAAATTGTACTTGATAAATCTTCCATAAATTGAATCGACAATTGCATATCTTATGTTCTATAAATGTAATTTTAGTCCAAAATATTGCTAAATACTCATAAATCATGAAATTATTGCATGTCCATACCTGTGCTGGAGGCATGATGTAATGCTGGATGTTTTCTCCAGTAATGCTCTCTGGTTCTAAGCTGTCATCTGCAATAATCACTTTTATGTTACTATAGAATGTCCGGATACTATCCAACAACACCCTCAGTTGTTTGTAGCGCAGGAAGGTCTTTGTGACAATGGTAACTTGAGAGCTGATATCTAAGTATACAGAGAATATTGTTATAAAAGATGGATTACTAGTAATGGCACAGAGTAGCATTAGATTTCTGAATCATCCATCCATCTTCATCCGCTTTATCCGAGGCTGGGTTGCGGGGCAGCAGCCTAAGCAAAGAGGCCCAGACCTCCCTCCCCCAGCCACCTCCTCCAGCTTATCCGGGGGAACACCAAGGCATTCCCAGGCCAGCCGAGAGATATAATCTCTCCAGCGTGTCCTGGGTCTGCCCCGGGGCCTCCTCCCGGTGGGACATGCCTGGAACACCTCACCCAGGAGGCTCCCAGGGGGCATCCTTGTCAGATGCTCAAACCACCTCAGCTGGCTCCTTTCGATGTGCAGCTGCTCTACTCTGAGCCCCTCCCGGATGGCCGAACTTCTCACCCTATCTCTAAGGGAGAGGCCAGCCACCCTTCGGAGGAAGCTCATTTCTGCCGCTTGTATCCGCGATCTCGTTCTTTCGGTCACTAGCCACAGCTCGTGGCCATAGGTGAGGGTAGGGACGTAGATCGAACGGTAAATTGAGAGCTTCGCTTTTACACTCAGCTCCCTCTTCACCACGACGGACCGGTGCAGCGTCCGCATTACTGCAGCTGCAGCCCCAATCTGTCTGTCGATCTCCGGCTCCCTTCTCCCATCACTCGCGAACAAGACCCGAGATACTTGAACTCCTCCACTTGGGGCAGGAACTCATCCCCGACCCGGAGTGGGCACTCCACCCTTTTCCGGCTGAGAACCATGGCCTCAGATTTGGAGGTGCTGATCCTCATTCCCGCTGCTTCACACTCGGCTGCGAACCGTTCCAGTGCGAGCTGGAGGCCCTCACCCGATGAAGCCAACAGAACCACATCATCCGCAAAATCAGAGATGAGATTCTGAGGCCACCAAAGCGAAAGCCCTGAATCATTTCTGAATCATTCAAACTAAATTAAATGTGCATTCCTTCTAATAACCAGCAGTGGGTGCATTCTCCGGTTTAAAAAAAATCTAATGTATTCAACAGTGTTGGGGAGTATATGTACCAGCGTTATGTATTTAAAATACAAAATATCAGTAACTGTATTCCGTTACAGTTACCGTTTAAAAAGGCGATATTGAGAATACAGTTACTTTGTTGACAAAATAGTTGGTAACCTTTGGTCAATCAAAAAACTCACAATGGTCAAAGAAATAACTTTAATCTGACAAAAGTAATAATAAATAAAAAATCTATAAATATTAAACAATGACAGTCAAACCCTGCTTTTAAACCTGTCATGAGCCTTGGTCATTTTGACCCAGCGTTTTGTTTCCTTTGGATTTCACCATGTGTTTTGTGTTAATTGTGATTTTGTATTAGTTTAGGGTTGAACCTGGAGTTTAGTGTTTTATCAGCCTTACCTGTGTCTGTCCTCTGTGCTCTGTTCGTGTCCCTGTGTTTGTGTTGTAAAACAGACTGTTTGTTTCCTGTTTTACTTTGAAGGTTTGTGTCTCATCTGGTGAATTAGGTTCAGCTGTGTTCCCCTCCTGTGTGCCATTCCCTCATTACCTTCTGTGTATTTATAGTGTGTGTCTGCCTGTGTTCCTCGTTGCATCGTCTGTGCTTCTCAGTAAATCCTCTGTGTGACTCCGTGTTAATTCAGTGTTTCTCCGCGTCTCTCTGCCCAGCCTTCTTCATCTGCCATCTCTGTATATCTCCCGGTGTCCTTATGTTTTCAGGTTTGTTTGTTAGTTTTTCCCAGTTTAGGTTTATGTTCAGTTCTGTCCTCACCTTTGTTATTTTCACTGTAAATCAAGCTCCACTCACATCTCCACTGCCATCTGCATCTTGGATCCTCATTCATTCAACCACACAACCGCTGCCCCAGCCGTGACACAACCGCTGCCCCTGCAGTGACACAACCATGCTTCAAGTGAATTACTTAAAAATAAATGCATGAAACAGGCCTGGACAAAAATGATGGTACCCCTAGAAAAGAAGGAAAATAATGTGACCAAAGAGACTTGTTAATCCAAGGTGTGTCCACTAATCAGCATCACAGGTGTCTACAATCTTGTAATCAGTCAGTAGGCCTATATATAGAACTCCAGGTAGTCACTGTGTTGTTTTGTGACATGTTGTGTACCACACTCAACATGGACCAGAGGAAGCAAAAGAAAGATTTGTCTCAGGAGATTAGAAAGATAATCATAAGCATGTTAAAGGTAAATGATATAAGACCATCTCTGAGCAGCTGGATGTTCCTGTGACTACAGGTGCACATGTTATTCAGAAATTTAAGATCCATGGGACTGTAGCCAACCTCCCTGGACGTGGCCGCAGGAGAAAATTGATGACAGATCAAAGAGACGGATAATCCAAATGGTAACAAAAAAGCCCAGGAAGACTTCTAAAGACATCCAAGCTGAACTTCATGCGCAAGAAACATCAGTGCACCATTCGTCACTTTTTGAGACAAAGTGGGCTACATGGGAGACGACCAAGGAGGACACCAATGATGAAAACAAATCATAAAAAAGCCAGACTGGAGTATGCCAAACTACATGTTGACAAGCTACAAATCTTCTGGGAGAATGCCCTGTGGACAGATGAGACCAAAATTGAACTTTTTGCCAAGGCACATCAGCTCTATGTTCACAGATGGAAAAAAGAAGCATATCAACAAAAGAACACTGTCCCAACTGTGAAACCTGGGGGAGGCTCGGTTATGTTCTGGGGCTGTTTTGCTGCATCTGGCACAGGGTGTCTTGAATCTGTGCAGGGTATAATGAAATCTCAAGACTATTAAGGGATTCTAGAGAGGTGGGGTGCCCCAGCCTCTCGGCCTGGGGCTCGGTCACTCAGGCACAGCTGGCTGCCGGCGGAGCCCACAGGCGCATCACTGCAACTCCCCTGGCTTCTGCTCCGCAGCTGCTGAATGAGCCCTCATCTGGGACTCTCCTTAGCTCTTACTGGGACAGTGGCGCAGCTGCCCCTCTGTGGGTCTTCCTTGGTCTCTTGTATTCTGGGGGCCTCTGGATGTCTGGAGTTTTGATCTCCTCCATACCCGCTTGATACCATAAAGGACAGGGCTGTGGCTCCCCACACTCCCTAGCAGATCATTACATGGAGAAACCTTTGGAATGCAAGCATGCTGATCCACACAGGTATGCACACAGGTGTACAGATGGGTATTCACAGACGCGGACTACAGCTTTCTTGGCTGCTGCCTCAAAGCACACTGTGCGCTGTCTATCTTGTGTGCTGAACAATATCGTCTATTATTTAGTAACTATTGATATTTATGACTAGGTAGTTTATTGTGATGGTGCTTTTTTTCTATTATTATGTTGCTCTTTGTTGTTTGCTGTCTCCCCTGTTTGTTTGTTTTTTTTTTCTCCATACAGGTGACCCAGGAGGTTTTTTTTGTTGTTTGTTCTTTTCTCTCTTCCCCCCTTCTCACCGTCTCTTCTCCCCTTTGGTTTTCTTTCTTTCTCTCCCCCTGTCCTATTAAAAAAAAAAAAAAAAAATGACAAAGGATGAACTGAAGCTCCGCCATCACGTGATGTCACATGCTCCTTTTTCTGATGTCACTTAAAAAATAAATAAATAAAAAAAAAAAAGGGATTCTAGAGAGAAATGTGCTGGCCAGTGTCAGGAAGCTTGGTCTCAGTCGCAGGTCAACAGGACAATGACCCAAAACACACAGCTAAAAACACCCATGGCTAAGAGGAAAACAGTGGACTATTTTAAAGTGGTCTTCTGTGAGCGCTGACCTCAATCCCATTGAGGATCTTTGGAAGGAGCTGAAACATGTAGTCTGCAAAAGGCACCTTTTAAACCAGAAAATACTGGAGCAGTTTGCTCATGAGGAGTGGGCCAAAATACCTGCTGAGAGGTGCAGAAGTCTCATTGACAGTTACAGGAATTGTTTGATTGCAGGGATTGCCTCAAAAGGTTGTGCAACAAAATATTAAGTTGTGGGCACTGTGAGATTATTATATTATCTTATGCCATGTTATACCCCTAATTAAAGATTGTGAAATTATTATGTAGTTTTAGTTTGCATTATTCCATTGCATTATCCCCCCCCCCCCAAAAAAAAAAAAAAGTGGCCACTGTCACCTCTACTTGTGGCCAGCATAATGACGTGAAGAAATATTTTTAAAAATTATTATTCAAGAAATGATTTAATATGAAGGCAACAGGCAGAGTGTTACAGGCATAGCCCTAAAGAATGTCGCCTCATGGGCAGTGTAGTCTGCCAGGAGAATGGACTGCCATGCCCCTTATGTTTCTGTTAGCGCCAGGGAGTGAGAAAAAGGAGAGTCGAAAAGTACGAGTTGTCAATGACCAGAAACGGGAGATGCAAGCATGTAAATATAATATTTACCACTGCAGCCAAAATGAGTGACTGACGAGCCCAGTTGTAAGTAAGCTGTTAAGACTAGACTGTACACTGTGTTCATGTTTTCCTACGAAACAGTAGGTTCCGTTTGAGCAGCCTTTCAACGCCTCTCTTTGTCTCTCGCTAGCAAAGTTGACCCATACAACAAAGTAAAGCTATTTTTCGGTAATGAGCCAGACACAGAACCAAATGTATTAGCCAGATGTCCCTTAACTACAGTTTGGAGCCGCAGACCTGTTTTATACATGCGCAAAATAGTTTTCTATACGAGAAGGCAGCAAAAAGTGCAGCCTTACCTAATGCCCACCCTAGTGTTACTCATTTTATATTAAGATTTAAAAATCTAGTTGGTGTTGGTATGGTGAGTATCCTTCATTAAAAATTAGAAATCACACAGCAATAGTTCATTCATGTAGTTGTAAAAAGCTTGATAATATATTAATATAATCCAAAGTATTCAAATACGTTGCTCTCATTGAGTAATGTAACAGAATACGTTACAAAATACATTTGGAGCATGTATTCTGTAAACTGTAGTGGGAATACTTTTTAAAAGTAACCTTCCCAACACTGGTAATAAAGTCTCAAAACATTACCCTTATGCTCACTTGATTTAT